GCTGGACCTTCCTAACGAGAAATTCGCATCGACCATGCGTGACTTCAATAAGCACTAAGGAAACATGCGAGTGAGTGTACTCGAGAGTGCGATTAACTGCTGACATGAGCATTAAGCTGATGGTGGCATGAGTTGTTTGAGTCGCTGGGAACGGTACTTCTGCATTTTTGAAGTCGATAAAAATGATCGTCTTGACCAATAATATGGCAAAGAAACCATGATGCAGTCTGATTGGTTAATAATTAGAAGTAAGGCCTGCCACCTTACGAATTCCACAAACAAGTCAACAAATTCGCGCCGTTTCACATTGAAAAAATCAACAGTTCCGGATATTTCATTACATTTGCGGATGCAATTATTTTTTTGCGCATGTGCATGTTTTGTCGTACTCGGATGACATGTCGACATGCGCATACATCGAAAATGGGCGAACTTTGAGGACGATTTTCTCGAGCTGTGTAATACTTAGAGCAATACTACTCGTACTACAAGATAGTCCATTACTAGTTCAGCCTATGCAGCATGGTCTGCGCATACATAGCTCTCTCTGGCATGAGGCATCTTACCCGCATGTACAGTACACGCATATTCTTGAAATACCACGAATATGCCAAGTTCGAAGTTGTCGTTCTCCACAAGTGTTGATTCAGGCGACATGCAATAAGGTGTTGTTGATAGTATTGGTTGTTGTTATGAGGAATGGAGAGTTTCGTGACCTCTTGTGCAGTATGCATTGAGAAATCGCTGACCTGCATCGCGCCTTTCCCGCATGTACGCATGCACATGTATAAATCGATTTGCAAAACGTAACTAACTATGGGGATGAATAAAAATACGCATATTTAATACAAATATCAGCATTAAGATGTTCAAGCGAATAATAATGTGTAACTGTCGCGCATACGTTCGTGTGGAAGTGGCAGATCAGTACTTGGTTGACTCGCACGCGACAACTTGAATAAAGATGCATATATATCCCCTCGACAATGGCACACCATGATTTGAACGAATCAAGGACCTTTAATTCTTCATAGTGATGTGTTTGTGTCCTGTTCCCACATCTGCCGGCTACACTCCCAACCACTCAATTGCTATAGTTAGACGACGAGTTTGTGGCTATTTGTAGCTGTTGGTTTCCCCGAGACAAGTAGTATCTGATAGCTCACCCACTTTCATAGCTATAACCGAAATGAACAGCTTTGCCACGACCATCCATGTCGCGTCGCGGCAGGACTTGACGCCGGTGTTGCCTCTGTACAAGAAATGGCTGCCCTCGTCCCACCTCACCTTGATTTCGCAGTGGGCGAAAGTGGCCAAGGTAGCGCTGGGCGTGTTCTGCACGTTCCTCCTTGTCGTGGACGTGTCCAGCAACAACTGGGAGCTGATCGACTACGTCGGGGATGCCAAGCACCTTCTCACGCCTCTCCTGGCCATCGATTCGGTCGACACTATGCAGGATCGGTTCACGTTCTGCGACGGCGGCGCGCCGTCCGATGTGTCGCAGATCGGCCAATTCCACATCAACATTTCGTTGGCTCAAATTCAAGCGAGGGACAGCAACACGTTCATCCTGGGCACGACCAAGCACCTAATCCAGGATCGTGCCAATGACATTTGCGGCGAAATAGTTCAATCATATCCAATTAAAGACCCCACTGCCAAGTCCGTCCGCCTTGGGACCGTCGACGACGACATCACGTTTGCGCGAGGAACTGCTCTCACCCACTGGTTCGGCAACACACAGTCGTCGCCCCAAGCGACAGATGGCATGAATGAGACGCAGTTAAGGGCACTCGGGTACGTTCCGGCGCGGCACAGCACGGACCTCCGCCTCATGACCCCCCTCGTCCTCCCCCCGCCCGGCCAAGTGACAGCAGGCTCCGTCTCCATGTACCGGTTCTTCATGAAAGCGTTTTGCTCAGGGTGTGTGCCTGGCACGGAGCTCGGGCTGGACACGTGTGTGATCGAGTATTTATACAACGACACGACGAACACTCTGGAGATTACATCGAGCCAAGCCATCCTCGGGGGGAGCCACGAACTGGGGTTCATCTTTCAACGTCGAGGGGGGCCCATACTCGCGCTGTACGTTCGCTTCGTCATGGTGCTGCTCGTCATTGCCGTGTACACCACCAGTCAAAAGACCGTCCAGTGGGTGGACTTAACCCAGCAAACGCTGCCCCAACGCCTCCTTCGGTTGGTTGCCCCCCCTCTGTACCGCCAGCCCTGTTTCGTGTTTGACTTGAGCGACATTTGCTTTAACAGCGACATCTTTGTCGTGTTGTACTCGCTCACGGTGCTCGCAGACGAAGAGATCAGCATGGTGTATTCCAGAGTGTTGAGCCACTGGTACACCAACAGCGGGTTGGATCCGTGGCTGCAGCTGCGCCTCATGTCTATGACCGTCCGGTGGTTGTGGCTCAACTGCTTTTTGCTCAAAGCCGCCAAGTGGATGTGGAACGTCGCCAGCATAGTGCAGTACACTGGAGACAGCTCGGTCATGGGCTGGCTCAACTTTAGCTCGGTCACGTGGTTGTACCTTGGCGTCCTCGTTTTGTTTGTACGCAACGAGTTCATCGAGTTCAGCAACTCGGTGATCATGGACTTGAACCATGCGACGCAAAACTTGGACGCAGTGTCCGTGTCGTTTCTGGACAGCTGGTACCTTCGAGCCATGCCGGGGCTGGCGGTCGTGCTAGTCATCAACGTAGTGGCCATGTTGGCGCTGGATCGAGCGGCGAATCGGCGGTGGTGGCGAGTGTTCGTCAAGAGCTCTGTTGGAAGGCAGCTCATGTTCAACTCGACGTCCATCGTCGCCGAAGTGCGCGGGGACGTGGTGGAGCACCTCGGCTACACGGGCGTGACGATGAAAGCCCGGGCGCTGGCGACCTTTCGCTGGTTCTTGTCGACCCATTTGACCTGTTTCGGGCTTGCAGAACACCCCAAGGTCATGCGAGGGCTCGGTGCGTTCAAGCCAAGGCGGATCAGCGCCGACGACGGTACGTCCAGCGCCGAAACGGTTGACGACACGTCGTCGGGCAACTCGAGGCGCCGGGTTGGGTCGTCAACATCGCAAGTGACAGATGACCTGGTCCAGCCGTCGCCGTCGGAAATCACCATGACGCAGCATCTGTACATCCTCGTTCAAGATCGAGATGGCCACGTGCATGTGATCGACGGAGACAAGCGGGAGATGCAAGCACTGAATGTTGAAGTCAAGATCTTAAGAGATGCTAACGTGCTGTTGGGATGATCATAATTCCAATGTCAATAAGATAAAGATGAGTTGCAAAACCACTCTCTATGATGTTCGTTTAGATGTTGACCTATATACCGGTACAGTACCTACCCCATCCGTTGTGTGGTAAAGGAACAGTAGTGGTGTCCAATTCAACTTGGCGAGTTTCTTACCAGCCATGAAGTCGCTTAACACAGGAAAGGTAGGTTAACGTTAGATACCATTCACCTCTGCATACCAGGCAAAGCACAGGTAACGCCCACAGTTGAACTAGCGTTACCAATAGAAAGTATGTAAAAAGGGACTACTTCGTATATTATTATTGAATTGGCCATCTGTAGTATGTGATGTCAGCCTAAGCAAAATGTCGTGTCGCGCAAGATCTTGACTTCGACGCTGAGTGCCTTGAGCCCTAGCTTTTGGTCGTTGATTAGGTGGACTTGCCCGTCTCGATCTTGCACCAGCATGTACTGCTCTGGATCGGAAGTGTCGATCGAGTCTGCGCTATTTCTCTTGACGGGTTCTTCTTGTACCGCGAGCCACCCCGCCGACGCTTCTCTTGGCACTCCCACTGACGATCGCTTTGACGGTTTGGACATGGCTCGTTGACGTTTCGCGGCAACGGACGACGGTTTCGGCGCGATGGCGGCGTTGGAAGCCATGCCCCGCATGGCACTCGGGTGCTCCACCAGGCCGAAGTGGGTCAAGTGACTGGAGAAGAACCAGTGAAACGTGCATAGCGCCCGCGCTTTGATTGTGATTCGCGTGCCTTGTCCACTTGCCCCCCTGGTTTGGACTGTAGACACGTCGCCGCGCACCACCGCTAAGATGGACGTCGAGTTGAACATGAGCTGGCGCGCCATCGAGTTGTGGGCAAACGCCTGCCACCAATGCCAATTCACAGCGCGATCGACCAGGAGCCACACGACCAAGTTGGTAACGAGGGCAAGGGCGAGGGTCGGCATCGCCCGAACGTACCAGCTGTCAAAGAGCCGCACAAACGTCGCGTCCAAGCTTTGCGTGGTCGAGAGCAGCTCCACTTTGTCGGCGTTGTTGCGGTTGATAATGTCGTTCCGTTGAAACAGTACAAACACCCCCAGATAGATCCACGCGACCGAGCTATAGTTGAGCCAGCCCATAATCGTGTTGTCGCCAGAGAACCGCGTGAGGCTGACAAAGTTGACGGTCCACTTGGCAGCTTTGAGCAGGAAGCAGTTGAGCCACAGCCACCGCAGGTGAATCGACATGAGGCGAATGTCCACCAGTATGTCGTCGGACGTGTGGTCGTGCCACGTGTGAATCTCTCCTGAAAACACCATGCTGATCTCTTCGTCCAGCAATACCATCAACGTGTACAACACGACAAAAATGTCGCTGTTGAAGCATATGTCGCTCAAGCCAAACACGGAGCAGGGCTGGCGATACAGTGGCGGGGAGATCAACCGAACCAGACGTTGGGGTAGGGATTGCCCGGCATAGTCGAGCCATTGGACGGTCTTTTGGCTGGCGCTGTACACGCCAATCAAAAGCAGTAGAGTTGCGAAGCGTATATACAGCGCGAGTATGGGCCCCCCTCGACGTTGAAAGATGAACCCGAGCTCGTGACTCCCTCCGATGATGGCTTGGCTCGATGTAATCTCCAGAGTGTTCGTCGTGTCGTTGTATAAATACTCGATTACACACGTGTCCAGCCCGAGCTCCGTGCCAGGCACACACCCTGAGCAAAACGCTTTCATGAAGAACCGGTACATGGAGACGGAGCCCGCGGTCACTTGACCGGGCGGGGGGAGGACGAGGGGGGCCGTGAGGCGGAGGTCCGTGCCGTGCCGCGCCGGAACGTACCCGAGTGTCCTCAACTGTGTCTCTTTCATGCCACGTGCAGCGTCTGAAGTGGTGTCCCTGAAACCGTTGCTTAGGGCGGTATCTCGCATGAACGTAATGCCGTCCACGACCGATCCAAGCTGGACGGACGTGGCGTTGGGGTCGTTGACGGGGTATGATTGGACCAGTCGACCGCAAATGTCGTTGGTGCTGTCTTCAATCGTATGGCTTCCCATACTGAGGATGAACGAGTGACTGTCTTGTGCTTGAATTTGAGCCAACGATGTGTTGATCATGAATTGACCGATAGTCGACACATGCAATGTCGACGCGCCGTGGGGGAAAGCAAATTGCGCGGCAATCTCGTCTGGGCTTTCGATGGTCAACAGCGGCGTGAGCAAGTGCTTGGCATCGCCTATGTAGTCGATGATGTCCCAGTTGTTCATGGCCACGTCGATGCAAAGCAACGCCAAGCAAAACACCCCCAGAGCGACTTTGCCCCATGTTGCAAAGACCTGGATGTACTGCCCGTAGCCACTTGGTGACCTCCGAACGCTCTCGTTGAACGGCATTACGTGGACCTGTGCCATACGCGGCAGTTGCGGCCTCTGTAACTGGAGGCACACGAAACCGAAACGGTTTCAAATAGTACCACCTTCTGATATTTTTGCATATCTCCGTAACGTTATGAAAGTTATGAAAGTTGCACCTTTGGATGTTGATATCTGGATAAGAAATGGACTAGCCAATCAAAATGCGATAGAAACAGGGATCAAGAATGCACGTCATTTTTCACTGTATAAGCAAATACCTTGCTTGCTGCTTGTAAACACGATGTCACTAAATGGTTGAATTACCTTTTTGTCAATTCACATGGTTATGTATGCGTCGCTTCTGTCGGGCAAGAACTGACGCAGGACTATATGATGAGCTGCATATAACTTACCTGGCCATTCAAACTCACTGACCCTGCAAAGGAAGTTAAGCTGTGCTACTACACTATGCGCAATGAATACGATATGATTGGCTAAAATGTCGATTACATTTGTTATGCATTATGATTGGCTAGAATCCAGCAACTACAATTCGGAAACTTGAGATGGACTCACCGCCGTCGACGTCGCACCAATTCAAAGCCGCGGGCCAGCGCAAGAAACTCCCGGGAAGCGGTGGTATGGGTAGCTTCCAGATGGAAGGAGAAGCGGACGACATGGACGTTCACCAAGGATCTCTCCCCGTGACCCGCCCGGACTTTTTGGTGCACACGACGTTCTTCAACAACTTCCAGGACGACTTTGATGATGACGACTTGATGTAATGCTTGGCTACGTGGCTTTTAATTACCAATGTAGCTGTAAAAGCTTGAGTGGATCGCTCGGCGTCGCGTCTTCATAGCAGGTCGTCCTATCGCGATGCTGTTAGCCTTGCAATCTCATGCAGCATCTACAAGTCTGCACTTTGACGACACGGTGTTGGCAAAGGCACTTTACTGTACGCCTAGGATCAAAACGTCACACTGGATAGCATGATGCTGCAGGGACATCCCACATTTCGATGCTCACTTTGTTCCTACAAAATCGAATCCAATGTTCATGGAGTTAGCTTACAACCTACGATCCTACGCGCGAGGCCTGTACTAGTTCATGTGATATGCTACATAGCTACACTTCGACGACAGCGCCATCATCGTGGCTCAGGTGCTTGGCGTCGGCTTCGGCGGCCTCGTCGTCTTGTTCTTCTTGGCTCTTGCTCTCTTCCTCTGCCGTGGCGTTCACTGTCAGCACCGACTCCACTTCGTCCGCCTGGGGCGCCTTCATCGTAGCCATGGCCACCGCCACCACCGCCAGGACCAGCGCCAGCCCCGACATGCCGTACACGAGTGGCGCCGATCCTCCGGCGGCAGTCCCAGCAGATGACGCCCGACCAGTCGTCTGTTCGTTGTTGTTTTGGGTGTTGGGCACTCGGACCCACGTGCACCCGCGGAGGTCGACGCCGCCGACGCTGCGAATGACGTCGCACGTCGAGTTCCAAGGGGCGACGCACCGATCGCCTCTGTACGACGCCAGGTGGCTGTGACAGTCGCCCCACGCTGTCGCATTTGCCTCCGGACAAGCCGTGCCAACGCCTCCGCAAGGAGTCGCGTCCACACAATACGTGGCATCGCCCACGACACTCACTTGAAACGGACATGGCGTCGGTGCAACACTGGCTAACGTTGGTGCTGGAGTGTCTTCGTGGTGGTCGATGGAGATTGTGGTAGGTGCAGCTATGGTGGTGGTAGGTGCAGGTGTGGTGGTACTGGTGGGTTCAGATGTGGTGGTGGTAAGTGTAGGCGTGGTGGTGGTAGGTTTCGGTGTGGGTTCTGGGGTCTCGCCCTCTAGATGGTCGGGTACAAGTAAAGTTGTGGTAGGTGCAGGAGTGATGACGATGCGGGGGGTGTCATCGATCGTGGCATTGGGTGCAGCTGTCGTTGTAATGTTTACATTGGGGTTGTCGTCATGGGTTGTTCCTTTGGTCATTTTGTGCTGGGAGACCACCATGTTCATGAGTTGATCTCGGTTCATGGCGTGGGTGCCAGGGACAAGCGCTACAGCGGCGAGGCACACGCACGCGACAATGGAGCGGTTGGTGAGCATGGCACGTTTGGCAGCGGTGATTGAAATATGACGCTTTGCTGGCAGAACACCACACTGTTCCTTGTGCTATGTAGGCATGAAACTCCCATGTCGACGGTGGTTTCGCCATTACTGAGCAGATCTTCTTGAACAGTCGGGGGTTTCATTGTAGTTGTTGGAGGGTGTCGAAGAATGATGTAGATGCGAGATCGACATGCACATATATGAAGCAAAGAGCGACATGAGGTAGGAAGAAACCAATTCGCTGGTCGCTACTGGCGCCGTCAGTGCCTTGGGCACTTCTATGTTCCATCCAACGTTACCGTGCAAGAAATGCTCAAGTCCATCATCTCTTCCAAAGTGTAACCGTCAGCAAAATATCATGCGAACATATTTCTCTAGAAAATGCTATTAATAAAGTAGTGCATACGAGTATGAGATTCTAATACAGTACAGTACTACTACGTAGTAGTAATATATTTATTATAATACAGGGAATTATCCATGTCAAAAATGAATGCATCATTTTATTTTTCCGATGAAACAAAAAAATCACTCGGAAATTGGGCGATGGCAAAGAATGTTGGTCTTGCAATCCTTCCAAAAACTGACAATCGTTGACGGCACAATGGCCAAAGCCAAACTGCTTGGCATCTCTGCGGTCGTCGTCCTCGTTGCATCCGTCGCGTATCATTTCCAGTCTACTGCCATCATGCGATTGGATACCATGAAACTCAAGAACGCCAACATGAGTCTGCAGGGGCAGACGGCGCTAGTGGTCGGAGGCACGGCGGGCATCGGCGAAGGCATCGCCCTCCGGTTGGCCCAAGCGAAAGCGAACGTCGTGATCGCGGGGCGCAACGCCGACCGAGGCAAATCCATCGTGCGCAACATGCAGACAATCAACCCCTCGGGCACCTATCGCTTCCTGCCCGTGGATGCACAGCTCATCGGCAACATCCGCGGATTGTCGGCCGAGGTGCCGCATCTCGACAAGCTTGTGCTGACCCAGGGCATTGCGACCATCCAAGGATTCACGCCGACATCGGAAGGCATTGATCAGAAGCTCGCGCTCCATTACTACGGCCGCATGGCGTTTATCGAGGAGTTCCTGCCGACGTTGCGGCAGTCCACGCACTCCCCTCGCGTGCTGTCGGTGCTGAGCGCCGGTACGACCCATCTTCGTCCCTTGCTCATCATTTCGTCTAGGGGTGCATTCTCCATACGCCAACTACACGAACGACCCGTCGCTAGAATCTTCATATTCCCTGAAGAACGCCGCCGACGCCGCGGGGTTCTACAACGATCTGATGCTGGACGCATACAGCGCGGCCAACGACCAGATCGCCTTCGGGCATGCCGCGCCAGGATTTGTCGCGACCAACTGGGGCACGGAGATGCCGTGGGCCATTCGCATGCTCTTGAAGCCCCTCAAGTACCTGCTGGCTAAGTCCAAGGCAGACTGCGCCGAGTTTATGACCGACTTTTTGCTTCGAGAAGACGTCGCGGGTGGACAGCTGTACTTGACGGACGCGGTGGGTGAACCAGCCGCCGTCACGACCGCGCACACCCCCGCCGCAGTCGCCTTCCTCGCCAAACATACCCAAGATCGGTTGAAATACGTCCAGTAACGAGTTGTTCCTTACAGGTTGCAAAATGCATATACCATAACCCGCTAGTTAACAGTAACCATAACCCGGTAGTTAACAGTAGTTATGGATATCCTTATCTACCTAGATGGCTACAGTACACTCAGGCCTCGAAAAAGTAGTATAGTATCGAATACTAGTATACCGGAAGACGATCAAAATGAAATCATATTTACTTATGGAAAGATGCATACTGGCTACTATATTTCCCTATTTGACAATGGTCCTCTGCTAAGGGACCCTATTTTCCCTACCACATGGACAGAAAGCAAACTTTGGCGGTGGTCTTGTAGGATCATTTTGGCGGCGAAGAACAAGCGTTCAACAATGTTCGACGAATGCCGATGATACCAGTCGGCGACGTTTTGAGCTCAGAATGGACAAATCCTCGTCACCAGGTGTCTGCAAATCACTCTAGGTGTATTGCAGCATGGCTACAGCATCGAACGGCACCAAAAAGTATGTACTACTATTAATAGTATGGTTGCGCAGGCTATTGGTCCTTTTTTGATATAACTAGTTATATCCAGTAGTTCGTTTGACTTTAATCCAATAGGACCATTGCTTTGGGGTGAAACAAACTAACATTACTGGATATGTCCAATAAGGGCCAAATGGGCTGAGTGGCCTTTATCTTGCTACTGTAATGTTGTTCGTGGTTTTGTGGATTGCCACTGAGCCGTTCGTTCGATTGCGGTATAGCCGAGCTGGGCTTTAACTCAAGGCAAAATGAATCGTTACTTAAGACAATTCCGACTATACCGCAATCGAACGAATGTACAGTTTCGTGTTCAACGCAACCTTTCCATTGTAACGGTAGTGCGATTGCCCAACTGGAAAAAATATTCTTTTTCTATGCGCCGCTTATTTTATAGTTAACGTTAGGGAAATATTAACCCTCTAATGTTAGGATTTACAGTTAACTGTAAGTCCTTGTAACGTTACTCTACTTTTCCAGAGGTAGGAGGCTTCCCTCCTTGACTGTGAATATAGGGAAAAAATGGGAATTGATTTTCACTATTCATACCTACCCAAGTCACTTTATATTGGTCAATATACTCGAATTATTTCATTCTAGCCAATCAGAGAAGTTGAAGATAGTAGAAATGGCCAACCCAAACCCACTGGAATGAATATTGGCCACTTTTACGCACACTTTCAGGGCTACAGAATCATAGGGTAAGGTACTAACTATTAATAGGATATACTGTAGTTGACACTTTGCTTCCCATCCGAGCTGGTTAATATTTTTTAAGTCCACTTTATTTATTCTCTTCATATTGGGCGATGGGGGTGCTCGACGTGGTTCAACACTGCCAACGTGTGGTGATGTATAAAGGCGGCGGCATCGGGAGAATGCGCCGCCGTCTTCTGGGCCGCGCTGCCGTGTTGGTCGATGAGGTGGACCCCGCCCATGGCCGGAAATGCCGACGCGTCCAGCAGAAAGTCACACATAAACTCGGCGCAGACGTCCGGGGACTTGGCCAGCAAGTGATTGACGGGCTTCAATAGCATGCGAACGGCCCACGGCATCTCCGTGCCCCAGTTGGTCGCGACGATGCCTGGCGCGGCATGGCCGAAGGCGACGCCCGCGTTCGCATCGTCCTGGCTCCACGCATCCAGCATGAGGTCGTTGTAAAAGCCCGCGGCGTTGGCGGCGTTCTGGAGGGTGTAGCTGTGTCGCAGGTCCGGGTCGTCTCTGTATCCGTCGTACGGCTTGTGCACGCCTACATGATGTGTGATAATGATGGTCATGGGACGATGGTGGCAAGGACAAACCAGCGCTAAACACGGAGAGCACGCGCGGCGACTGCGTGGACTGCCGCAATCGCGGCAAGAACTCCTGGATGAGCGCCATGCGACCGTAGTAATGCAACGCCATCTTCTGATCAATGCCTTCTGACGTCAGTGTCCGACCCTGCAACGTCGCGATCCCTTGCGTGAGGATCAGCTTGTCCACTTGCGGCAACTGATGAGATAACCCGCGGATCCCACCTATGAGCTGTGCATCCAGCGGCACGAAGTCATGGTTCCCTCCATGGAACGTGTCCTTCAGGTCCTTTACAATCGCGGCCCCCCTCCTGGCATTGCGACCGGCGATGATCACGTTGAACTCGGCCTTAGCCAGCCGCCGAGCAATGGCTTCCCCGATCCCGGACGTAGCGCCAACGAGGAAGGCTGTCTGTCCTGGGAATCGCAGCGCTCCATTCTTTTGCTGAAGGAAGGCCAGCCGTCGACCTGCTGTCATGGTTGAAAGTGTATCCAATGCCCTTTAAAAGGTTTTAAAAAGGTGTTAACTCATAATTTTCACCGAGGAATGCGAATATTTATATCAAAACGATTAGTTTTTCGTTACAATTTGTATTTACAGGCTAAATTTCATTCACTCGCACAATACAGTACACCATGCTGAATCGTGCGTTGCGAAGCATCGTGCGGCCGCAGCGGAATCGGGGGTCTCAGCTGCATCGGTGTCATGGAACAGTGGTGAGCTACTACGACAGCCAATCTGGCCAGCATGTAACCTATACGGACGCTATTCACATCCACGGCCTTCACTTTGGGTCGTTAGACGAGGTCACGACTAGTGTCCAAGGCCTCGACTCCATCACCGCGACCCACGCCAACATCAAGACACTTCCACTGGAACATGGAAAGCCTGTATACTTGACGTATCCTCCATGGACCCCTTCCTCGTCGTCACCTCCTTTAGCAGTCAACCTTTCTTGTACATCTCCACGTGAGGACTGGAACGACGTCCTCGCGCAGTGTGCTGCCGCCACGAAGCTTGGACTTCCTATCAAGGCCACACTCGCCCATGCATTTGCCTCGTCCGATGTCACGATCCAATTGGCCGGGAGCTTACTTGCAGATGCAGGCGTGGGGATCATCACGCTGGATGACAGCGTGGACCAGTTGGCGGACGAAGACAACCTGCTCGAAGCCTTCGAAGCCCTCACGTGGTGCGACGTGGTGGGACTGCCCATGAAGCAGCGCATCGGTTTCCGCGGCTCCGCTCACACGTCCGAGGACCTTCTCCTTCTAGCCGTGCAGGAACACGAGATCAAGCACTTCGACGTATGCCTTCAAGGCGGAGTTCACGCTGTGACGCCATCCCACCTCGCGCAAGTGCTCGATACCGCGGGTGTCCCCCATCACCTTGTCCTTTAATACAAGGTCAACTTTGGCTTCTAGTATTTGCTTGATCGCCTCTCGTATGCACCTACGTTCCCTTGTTCACCCTGCACCTACGTCCTCCTGCACTCGCCTATTCGTTACTAGTATACTGCATGATATTATCCAATCGATTCGAAATTGGAGTGTTTGGGTATGACCAGCACCAAATCAGATCGACCAATCAAAACCCAGAACACTAATCAAGTGCCCAATCAAATCCACCCTTCGACCAAATAGTCAACACCGAATTAGTGTGTGACCGAAATTAGTGTGATCCTGGCCGATCTTTATGGACAAATAATCGATAGATTTGGCGAATAATCAGCACAAAAGTCAACCAAAATTTGGGGAAAAGGCCAATATTACACTTGATGTTTCAGCACGGGGGAGTTGGCAAATGCTCCGACTTCGTCGACGGACATGGCGATGCTGCCGCGAGGAACGCTTTCTTCCTCGGTGTCGTCGGGGATTCGTTTACCCCCGACAGTGTCATCGTCGCTACTGTCGTCCCCGTTTTTGTCGTTTGTGGTGGTGGTGTCGGTTTCGCCGACTTTGTTGTTCGGCGTTCCCGAGCACGATGCCGTGTCCGTCTCGTGGTACCGCGCTCGTCGGCTACGGAACACGACTACGACCAGCACCAGCAGAAGACATGCGACGCCGGCGGCCCCCGCGACCGCCATGGCGCGGCCGTCCCCCGCCTTCAACATGTCCACAAAGTCGCTAAAGCTTGTCGACGTCGTCGGCCGGACGTGCGTCACATGCTCCTCCGGTTGCGCCTGGAAGGCGGCGTTCTGTGCCGGCGTCTGGCAGACGGTGACCCCTTGGTCCACCGTGATCCAGTTGGTGATGTCGCCGTTGTCTTTGACGCGTCCGCACGTGGTCAGTTCAAAATGGTCCTTGGGGTTCTCTTCGAAATGTAAAATGTACTTTCCCGCCACTTGCTTCTCGCTCTCGAGGCTGCATGTGATGTGCGTCACCACCGAGTACACTTGCGGCGCGGACGGGGCACCACCAAGCAACTTCTCGAAGGACACACCCACGCAATGGAACTCGTCGCACACGTTCGTGCGGTTGTACGCGGCGAATGCGCGGTACGACGCCTTCGCGAGCGCGCCCGAGTGACTCGAATCGATGTTCTCCCATCGCGTGGTATTGAGACCCGACGAGTTGGCGGACGCAGCCGATGGAGAGATCGATGTGAAGGGAGTAGGCGCTTTTGTGGAACTTGAGGCGGAACCTGCCGTCGCCGGGGTGAGAGTGGTGCCGTACGGATCTACATCTTCCTCAACTTTGCGGGAACCAGCGGGGCATGGCGGGTAGTTGCAATTGTTCTTGGGATCCCGCGTCAACTGGATCAACTCGCCCGTCTTGAGGTTTTCGCATACCTTGTATTCCTCCACACACGCCATGATGGCAGCAGACTCGACGGACGCTTCGGTGGCGGTCTGTAGCGTTAATGCAAAAGTGCGGCAGGAACATGGATGTTTATTGGGTTCGGTAATGCTGATTCATTTATACAGTTTTATCCGGATGTCGGAAGAGGTCACACAAGTAACGTTACACGTGTTTCGCCACCTCCTTTGCCCCACCGTACGTAGTTATTGCATTTGTAGAATACTAAATAAAGGGTTTACACGCACATAGAGAAAGAGTACTTCGTAGTACTCTTGATACCAGTAGTCGCTTGATTGCATGAGGTGTTGTCGATTCTACAAGCTCAAACCAGTACGTTGTTAACGTTATACCTAGAATATCTTGCACGTTGTAAGGTATGTGTAAAACCAGGTGCAATGTGGCCCGACTATTTTAAGCGAATTTCGAAGACTGTTGCTCACGTCCCGCTTATTCGTTTATACAGGTGATGAATCATCCATTCCGAGCATTTGCTGCCGTGGACGATGATGAGCAACAGAAGCGTGCTGGAGGAGGTCTACCAGTAGCTAGCTCTATAAGTCCATGTAACGACAATCATACGGGGTCTATTCAACAGTAAATTTGGCCTCTTGGTTGACGCCAGGTGTGTCTAGCTTCATCTGGGCCTTCAAGCTCGTGGTGGTGGCAGGTTCGTTGAGCACGACCTCGTCCACTGCGGACGCCTTGATCTTCTTGCCGGCCAGCTCGACGTCCTCGTCATCATCATCTTCTTCTTCCTTGCTTTCTTCTTCGTCACCCACTTGGTTGTCCGCGTTGTCGCCGGTGGTCGAGTATCGGAATCGGTTGCGCAGCATGACGAGGCCGGCCACGATGAGCCCCGCGGCGACGAGGGCGGCGACGGCGGCCCCAATCACGAACGGATCGCCGCTTTCCAGTCGTTTGTAGTACTCTGCGATGGCCGACGTGTGCTGGACGTGCTCGACCTTTTGGTTGGCAAAGTCAGTTTTCTGCTCCGGGTTCTGGCAGATGGCCGTGCCGTTATGGATGCCAATCCAGTTGGTCACAATCGAATCCTTGACGTGGCCGCACATGGTCAGCTTGAATGAATCGACGGGCATCTCGTCAAAGTGCAAGATGTACTTGCCGCCGGCTAGGTCGTCGGCGGCGGCATTGCACTTGACTCGAGCCACGACCGAGTACATTTGGCCGCTCTTGGGCAAGAAGCCCGTCAATTTCTCAAACGATACCAGATCCACATGGAACGCGCCGCACGAGGACCCCGTGTACGTGGCAAACGCATCCACCGACGCCTGGGCCAGCGCTTCCGGACGAGTTTCGTCGATGCCGATCCACTGCTTTTTCTGGGTGTCCTGGGTGGGGACGGCGGATGTAGGCGCGACGGGCGGCTTGGTGGTAGCATGGAGAGGATGACTTGTTGTGACCACAGTCGTGGTGGTGGTCGTGGTAGGCGCAACAGTCGTGGTGGTGGTGGTCGTGGTTGTACGGGCCACGGTGGTGGTGGTAGGGGCCACGGCTGTGGTGGTGGTGGTGGTCGTGGTGAGTACAGGAGCGGCCGTGGTGGTAGTTCGAGCTACGGAATAGACGACGGTGGTAGAAGGCAAGTGTGTTGCGGCCGTGGACGCGATGGTAGCAATGGGTTCAGTGAGTTTGGGAGCGGCAGTGGTCAAAACAGGGATGGTGGCTCGTTCAGCTGAAGTTGTGACTGAAGGAACCGTCTGAGTGGTGGTGACGGAATCTGTCGTGACAACCGCCGCAGTCGGAGATGTAGCAGATGATGCAGTGGTTGGGAAAGTAGTAGTTGTGGTGGTCACAACTGGTGTTGATGTTGTCGTCGTAGTCGCGACAATGGGAGTTGTAGTGGTGGTCGTTGTGGGGTTGCTTGGCGGTGCTACTATGGTCACAACTGGAGTAGTTGTCTCGGCGGGAGGACTGGACGATGGAGGCGGCGAAGGTGCGGCGTCAGGCATGGTGGTGGGTGGGGTCTGTGAGTCGATTGGGAAATGCTGGGAAAAAGGTGGGGATGGGTACTTTATCATCCGGATAAGTGGGATTTGAATGGATTTGATTGGCGAATTTGTCGCATCATTCGGATAATACAACAACGCACGACTTGGATTGGCTGGGGGACGATTACTGTAGGTACTAGTAGGTATGAACCCTGTTTCCAAACGACGACTCTGAATTACCCTTGGTAATAACTACTATGTTAGCATTCTCATCGATAAGTCCATGCTTCTATGCTGGCATGCGATGGGCTTCTCGTGGCATGCATCATCGTTCTATTGGCCGAGGTAAGGAGAGTGTTGTGCGCGTTCCTTCTCCTTATGAGTTCTCTCCAGTCTGCTGCTGCCACGTGTTGCAAAATGATACTTATTCGAAGTACTACTACTACGTAGTACATACTGTAGTACATCTCAGGATCAACAAATCTCCATATTATTAGCAAAACATACTAGTCACTACAATCCAAGCTCTTGCAAACTAGTCATCGACAACTTGCGTGACCGTTACTCTATTGTAAAGATGCTTTGGCCGCCATCCCGTCGCTCATTCTTGTCTCGATGGGCCTTCCCAATGTAATCCAGCGCGTCCGTCTCCGTGGGGGTCTTCTCGTCCTCCACTTCTTCCTCTTGTTGGCGGCGCCGCGCCTCCGCCTCCCGCGCGCGCTCCTCGATTCGTCCCGTGGCCACCTCTTCCAGGATACTTCGCTCCATCTGGCGTCGCTTCATCGCTGCAATGCGCCGCCGCCCGACGACCACGGCAAACCCAAACGCTAGCAGCACAATGCCGGCCACCGAAGCTACAAACAGGTACAGCACCGTGGGCTTCTCCATTAGCGCCGCCAGGTCACTGAACATGCCATGGGAAGAATGTGCCGTCGATCCTTCCTTGGGCAGATGCAACGTGTGCTCTAGGGGCTGATGGATGTACTCGAGTCGCTCCCGCGGAGTCTGGCATGCCGTCGAGTGGTTGTGCTGGGTCAGCCAGTTGGACAGGGTTCCGTTGGCCAGGACCCCACATTGTGTCAAAGATACCGACGGCGGACCCGATTCTGTCAAAAGTTCCAAGACATACACTCCCGACGTTTGGTTGGTAGTGTTCAACGTGCAACTCACATCCATGACCACGTGGAACAGCGCACGCGACGACGGGAGGTCGGCGCGTTCGGCAGAGGTGATGCCGACGGCGAGATGGTCACAGACCGAGGAATCGTTGTACGCGAGGAAGGCTCGAAGGGCCGCGGCCGACACCTCGGCGGGAATGGTCGAGTCGGCGACTGTCCAGTTTAAGGCGCTGGAAGGAGTAAAGTCATGGAATTTGCGGTGGGTGATGTTCGAAGGGAACGAAGTTGTGTCGACTGCTGCGGTGGTATTTGGTGCCGTGGAGAGTGGCGGAGACGTCTCGTTGTCTGCGTCGCGACACGGGTAGAACTTGCAGTCGTTCGATGGATCCCTTGCAACGAGAAGCCCGCTTCGGCATTCGTACGTATCTGTCATGCATGCGACCTTCACAACAGAGGGGGGAGAGCTTCTTGCCGAGGTGATGATGGAAGGGGTTGGAGTTCTGGCTGAGGGTGGGGATATTGGAGTTGACGATGGAGCTGCAGTGGTAGTTGAGGCACTTGTTGAAGGGCGTGCCGTCGTTGAAGCTGGCTTGGGTGAAGTGATTGTGGTCGATGGCAGTGTTATCGATGATCCGTTGGCAACGAGAGAATGTGTGAGCTGTGCCGTCACGGGAGCTGATGTTGTTGTTGCGGTCTTCGGCAATCCGGGGGTGGTTGATGCCAGCGTCGTCGTAACAGCCACAGGGGTAAAGGTAGGAGTTGATAACAATGGAGAGGCTGCGAGGTTCGTTGGAGGGGGTCCTTGGGCGCTTGCCGCCGACGACGCAGCGGGTGACTTCGGCGAGGCCATGTTGTATAGGGTGGTCTATCTGAATATGGTGGCGTTTTTCCTGTGGCACATTCTGATTGGTCACTTCTCATCACGTCGTGGCTCTCTAAAGTACGTATCATCCCTCTCAACATAAACAATCGCAATCTGGATTTGATTGTGAAATACTGAAGTAACATTTACTACCAGGCAAGACGTACTTAGTAGGAGATGGTCAAAACATGTCAGTTATTATAACCGAGTGTCCCATAAACGGGCCGGAAAATGTAACCGACGACGAAAGGTCATGTTTGGAACATGTAACGGTTGCCCAAACGATCCATTGTTCACTGGAACAATCTGGGCTTGTTAAATGTAACTCTTACCATAATTAATGTGTGGAGGATGTGTTCCTTCTCAAGTCCAAGGCAATTGAACCACGCCTTCGACTGCACCACCGGAGATGACACCTTCGTTGAATAGCCCAGCGTCGACCGTAGACGGTACGCGGTTGATTTGTTCGACTACCTCAGCGATCTCGTCGGTCGTTGTCACCACCTCTGGGGTCTCGCCGGTTGCGCTTACTACCCTCAATGGGGGCTCGTCCTGTGCTTGTATATCGGTCAGAGGGGCTGGTTGAATCGCGACTTCTATTGCATCTTGAACGGGTACCATGGGCTCGGCGATGGATTCTTGGCCACCCCCTTCCTCTGTTGACAAGTCGGATGTGTCCACTTTGTCCTCAGCAGCGACAGGAGGTGCTGCGGATGTCGATGTATCGCGACTACCATCCTCTAACCCAGGGGTATCTGGTACGAAGTTGACTGGTAAATCGTCGAAAGAAGCAGCAACAGGTATATCGGTCGCAGTCGTTGGGTTGTTGTCTGTCGAGGGAGGGTCGTTCTTCGCAGCGCATGCCAATGGAGTACCATCCGAAGCAGCAGCAGCCCCAATAACTGGACACTTGGTGGACGCGACGACATCCGACACGAGCTTAGCAACTATCTCTGACACTTCGCCTCCAAGAGGTACTGTATCCACTGAGTGCACTCCTTGTACTGGCTCGTCAACGGCGGCCATAATAATATCCGAACAAGGTGTGGTGTCCACCAGCGACGCAGAGGTGGTGGTGGTGTCTGGCGCGACTTCACCACCCGCCGACTCTGCAATCACTTGGCCCGCAAGTTCATCGTGGGAGTCCGTCGAGCGAGCAACTTGTGGAGCAACTTGACCGTTAATAGAAGCAACCACATCTGCAGCAGGCAAGACCTCGTCATGCGCGGGGAGACAGGCTTCGGCGGCATCCTCCACAGGCGTCGAAGTGTCCGTGACTTGGGGAACCTGCACACTAACCTCCGTCGCGGTTGGCTCGATTTCAGTAGCAGGTGCTTGGGTATCGAGAGTTAGTTGGGATTGAGCTGACAATGGTTCTTTGGAATCGACAGCAATCGTCTCGTTGGCGGTCTCAACAGTATCGAGAGTTAGTTGGGATTGAGCTGACAATGGTACTTTGGAATTGACAGCAATCGCCTCGTTGGCGGTCTCAACAGTGTCGAGAGGACGGAGGGGATCATCCCCTGGCACGCAATCATCCGGCTGGTCCGTCGCATCGAGTTGCATGGGGGGCTCTACTCTCGTCACATCTGGTTTCTCTGGGGACAACTCTACTCCTGCAGTTGTCAGCTCCAGAATATCCGACGAAGTACCCCCCTCCACCGACGAGCCAGTGTCCTCGACTTTCGTCGCACTGTCCGTCGGCTCTTGTCGGGCAGGCAAGTCACTCGTGGTGGTGATTGGGGCACCCTCGTCTTCCAGGGTAGCCGCCGCGTTATCCGCCTTGTTGGAGGATACTTGAGTCAAGGCGTCCGTTGCGATGTCTACGATGCCGTCCGTCGCTGTCGATTCCGCCACCGCCCTCCCCTCGGCTGCATGAGCCGCCTCGCCGGTCGTTAAACAGTCATCGGCAGCCAGAACCGGCGAGGCTTGGAGATCTTGCTTGGAGTAGCTGGACAATACCGCAGCATCAAGCTGTCGTTGCTGCTCAGTGTGGGGAGAGGTTTCAATGTCCGATGGGGGGGGTTGAACATGCACCAGTGGAACTACTACAGACCCTTCTTCGTCCGTGGAGGCTGGAGGCGGCGAGATCATGATGACGGGGGGGATGGTCGGCGAAATGTCATGGCGCGGTTTCAGTGGTTCTAGGCACTGGTGGCGGACCAGCGGCAGGGCTGTACTGTCATCGGGGGGGTGTCGGGAGGGCGTTCGAGGCGACTTGGGGACATCCAGGGGTGGCAGGTCGTTGCGGGCGTTGAGCGCACTCCGGGGGCTCGAGACGACATTTCTCGGGTGCTTGTTGGCTTTCGGGGATATTTTTTGCTACAGCGTACATGTTGAATAAGTCACCCAAATTTGGACTTCAAAAAAACTATACTATACACAGATTCGTATATATTTGGTTTTGCCCAATGCGGATGGACTGGGTCGAATAAAATGATTGGATTGGCAGAAATTCGACAGGACGTGATTTGATTGGCTTAGGCGGTTCTTTAATCCATTCCCTTTAGACATTGATATGTGCATCGATTTGACAATACCTCGCGAGTGTGTTTGGGTGGACTGGCAGCGCCTTTCTTGGGGCTGCTATCCTTTGGCGCCATGAGCTCATTTTTGGCTTTGGTGTGGATTGTGCGGCGGGCTAGGGCGATCGTTTGAGAACGAATTTCAATGATTAAGTCCACCTGCGACGTAGGAATTCGTCAATGTTATCGTGACCCCGTGGCTCGCACCCAAATACTGCTCGGCTATCCCCACGCCCTGAAGAATAATTAATATATATATCATAAATGTACCCGTCATATTACCGATTGATACGAACTCACGCACGCATGATATTGCTTCAAGTATTCGTACTCGACGCCCAGGTTGTGGTATGCAATGCACAGCACGGACACGCGATCTTTATTCGCATCCAGCGGTGTCAAGTCTTTTCCTATCGATAATATAATGTACATATCCGAAAATGATTGATTATTTCAGTGTAAATTCACAGAGATGAGACGAAGTATACCTGCAGAAAACAGCTCGTCTTGCAGCAAAATAAGCGCAGACTGCGCATGCTCCACGGCCTCTGCGTGCTTCCCCATGGTCGACAGGACGGCGCACAGGTTCAGATGCGTGTCGGCGGTCGTTTCCAGTTTGTTGAGGTGCAGCTCAATGGCTAACGCACGTTTGAGGCACGTGAGTGCGCCATGGAGCTTGCCGATTCTACACAACCAGTGGCTAAGAAAGTTGCTCGAGAAAAGAGCAACTACCGGCGATAATAGCATGCCATGTTGTTGAGTGTCGTGGCGCGCTCCTGTGGGTGGTTCTCGGTAAGGATTTCGGCTTTTTTCAGCAGTTCCAGTGTGACTCCATAGTTTTCTACGTCAATGTCAATTATACCTAGCTAGTTCGTGCAGCGTACCTTGTTGGAGATATGTCATTGAAAGGAGGTTGCACATCTCCGCCACGGCTTTGCATGATTCCCTCACCTACATCTCGACGGTCTTACGGCATGCTTGTATGCAGAAAAAATTGCACCTCGACTGCATCCAGTCCAAAGAAGTGACGGCGGAGGACCAGCGCTCGCTCCATGCACTCCAGCGCGGCGACGTAGTTGCCCTACAGATGGCACTTGAGAATCATAAGGCAGAACGACATGGGTGGGACCTGCAGCTGGAATTGGACGCATTGCTCGTCCAGCTTTTGCAGAGCGTGGAGTTGCGACTGCTCCGTCTGGACTTCCGCTGACACGACCATTTTAAATGACATGGAGCCGTTTCGGTGTAACCGACACGGTCGCCTTTCTGACCGTGTCTTTACGGCAAACATGAACACATTCGCACAAGATACAGTAGTTCGCTTGTGAACGTCGACAAATCGTGCTGAATGCTCGAGCACAACCAAGCGGTACACTGTATTAAGTACTCCATGATCATGTCCCGAGATTTGACGAAATGTATTGGGGGATGGGTGTGCCATAGTATAGACTGGTCGTGCCCCGATGAGCAAGAAGTTTTGACAGCGAATCCCGCTAGCTGTTGTACATTATGTATTCACCCCGGATTGCCTTTGCAATAGTTGTTCAGTACAATATGATGAAACCGACGAAACAGACAGTTTCACATCGATGCCGCCATGGATGTCAACGACAGTGCGGTGCTGCAAGAGAAGGACCGCGTGATTGTGCTCCTGAATGAGACCGCCAAGGCGTTTCAGTTCCAAGTGGCGTCGCTCCAGGGCCAACTCACTTTGGCCACGAACCAACTCGCCCAACGCGACATGGTCGTTCATGACCTCCAGCAGCATGTGCAGGACCTCAAGAATGCCAGCGCCGACCAAGTACCCATCATCAGTTACTCGAGTACCGTCTAACCAGGTCTTAGAACAGCACAATCGCAGGGCTGCAGAGCCAACTGGCCCTCCAGAAAGCCACGCTGGACGAAGTGGAAGGGCAACTCAAGACTGCGGACGCCGACTTCGAAGCGTTGCGAGCTACGTTTGAGGCCAAAGACACAGTCAGTTAGTTGGATTAAACGCCAAGCTAACGACTTGTGGTAGGACACTTCGGACAAGGCCAGAGAATGCATCAAGTTGAACGAGTTGATTGTTCGCCTGCAGAACGAGGCGAGTCAGCTGAATGTCGTGATCCGCCGACAGGACAAACAACTGCAGGAGAAGGCGACGGCGACCGTCACGACCGACGCATGTCTGTCGGCGCGGGATTACTCTGAAAACCAGCTCATATCTCTGCGCGATGACGCGATTGAGGCGAAAGCCAAGGAATTGAAGCTTGTGACCGATGCCAACGATGGCCTTCGGGCTCAGCTGGATGCACTCGAGATCGAAGTACTAAAAAACTCAATCCCCTTTGGTCAATGCTGGTGTATATGTATAGATGGAGAGCTTGCAGGCGGTGCTGACCAGCAAGGACGTCGAGCTGCATCGAAATGCCAAGCGCATAGACAGACTCGATCGACAAGTGGCGACGTTGGAAGCTGCTGCCAAACAAGCACAAGGACGGGAGCTCGCGATGGAGCTAAGTACCAAGCAGAACACGCAGCTATTACAATGCCTTCAGGCTGAAGAAAGCAAGGTACTCGTTGTATATTTCTACTCCTTTCGTAAACTGGTGAGAACTCTGAACAACCAAAACTAGAGCGAACAACTAAAGCAACAAGTTCAAGCGCTTACCACTGACTTGGCCCACGTCCGTAGCCAGGCCACGCAGATTCGGTCGGAAGCTGCCGTGGTATGTCGGCAATACAACCCCCGAGCATTTTCTAGTGACAAATTGAACCACAACCATTATCCAGGTCGAGATCGACGTCGAGCTGAAAACCAAGGCGCTGGAGCGGCAGTCCCAGAACTTGACCACTTCGCTCGAAAAACTCCAAGTGGAGCGCGAGGGGATCCGGGAGGAGTTGTCTGTGACGCGGTTGAAAGCTCGGGTTGAAGTCGAGGGGATGCAGGGCGAGCTGATCCAGCGGCGCACCAAGCAGTATGAACTGACCCTCAAACTACATGTAAGGGCGACCTAGGCGTAGAAATGCAGCTGGAAAGTGCTGCTGTTTTAGGAAACTGAATCGCAATTGCACACGCTTCGCACCACCACCGAAGGCTTGGACGAAGAATTGCAAGCCACCAGGTCTCGAATGCAAGAGCTGGATCGGTTGTATGCGGACGCGAAGCGGTGGAAGGCCGACATGACGGCAACGTTGGACGCTATGAGCCAAGAGAATAGCCACCTCCAGCGGACGTTAGCTGTCGACACCAAGCGATTTCAAGTGGAATCCGCTGCCTTGCACGACCAGCTCAAGGAACTGGAGCGATTTGTCCAGACTCAAGCCATACAGCTGGGCAAAGCCGACGACGCCAAGACGAGTGCGGCGCAGGATATGCAAAAGATGAATCACCAAATCGAAGGAATGCAGGAGCGCATACATGGGTTGGTGGCGGAGGCTAACGCAGAAACCAAGCGACGGATGGGGGTGGAAATGGAGCTGACGGTATGGTGATGATGTTTGCGAAGGAGAAGCGCGTTGCTTATGTGGCGGAGTAGATTGCCCACGAACAACTGCAGCAACTCCAAGCGAATTCACAATCCATGTTGGCCGGGTGCTACGTCGAGCACAAAAAGCTCCAAGATGGTAAAAATAAACTCAAGCAACTCCTCCAGCAACTCGAAGCCGAATGCAAACGTGAACAACTCGGTACATACAACACAGTGATTTGTACGTTATTAGCTCACGATTCGTAGGCAAGTCCCAGCTCCTTCAGGCATCTTATAACATTCTGGGCCATCACAAGGGGCATCTGGTCGACTGCTGGCTGTCCGATGCCGATTTGCCCATCTTAGTTCGCTATTTCCAAGCGATAGACTCGCCTCTGGACGTGTTGGACCTACGTTCGAACCGCATCACTGATCAAGGAACTAAACACTTGCTACTGCTATTGCAGCCAAGGCGAGCTCTTTTCATGAGCATCAACCTCCAGGAAAACTACATCTCCCCTCAAGGCATCCGACTCCTCGCGACCGGGATGGAAGGGATGGGGTACTCCATTGTGATCCAAGATGGACGTGTCGAAGCCACAGATACCAGTGGCCGGGTGCTTATTGTCGACGTGTCGAAAAACAAAGACGCAGCCGTGCTGGTGTTCACTCCGTGCAGTGTCAAGCTGGCCAAAGTGAAATCGCTCAAGCCAGCCAGCGTTTCGAAGCCAGGTAGATGATTCATTTACTTGAATAGATAGTTAACACGTGGTAGACCCGCTACAAGAGATTTACGGCGCCGACTTGGTCCAATCCATGGTTTTGAAAAAGGATTACCTACCCCCCAAAAACCAAAGCCCCCTACTTCGATCCCCACGGTGCCAGTCCCTGCCAAAATTGTAGCCCTACTACTACGTAGTAGTAGTACTAACTAAATGCAATGGGGTACGAGTAATCACTATATTAATAGTAACACTGTAACGTTAACACACTTAGAATCTCTTAAACACTGTGAGGTTCGAATACTGTTTTTGATATTTTTCATAATAATGTTGTTAGAATTTTACCCAGAACCAATTTAAACGTAAGAATGGATAAATTCGAGTTTGTCGTGGCGAAGTTCCCTGCATTCATAGTTCCGTTCCTTATATTCTTTACACTGGAGGAAGCCCTCTCACCACATCCATCCATAGTTACTGTTGGCTTCATTTTGAGTTACCGTAGTGACCATTAGTTCTATGTACTATGTATGGCTTTCGACAACATCCACCCAATTCCTTGGACATAATAGCCTCCAGTGTACTGTACAGTACACTACCCTCATGGATTCTCTCTACTTTTCAGCCACCAGTCGCTTGACTTCTAGCGCGACCAAGTAGGTCAAAAATGCAAAGTACGCGAGTCCGCCTCCCACAGTGGCGGTTTGGGCCAGCGGGGCCAGGGTTGCTAAGGGTACCTTGTCGACCACAAGGTAGATATTGACAAAGCACACGACCAGCGTCATCGCCCACCCAACCAGTCGCATGGTGCGACCATTCGCAAACGTCCCCATCACCACGGGGTTGCTCGTAAAGTGCAAAATCGGAATCAACGCAAACGGAAGCTGCACCGACTGTAGCACGTTGAGGAATTCGTTCATCGAGTCGCTTTCACTAGAATAGAGAAAAATTCATTTATGCGTATCACATAGATGAATATTCATTTACCTCGGCCGTGACTCGGACCACATGGCCACCGACAAGGCCGGGACCAGCGCCACCGCTCGAGTTAGCGCCATGCGCTTCCACGGCGGGAGACGAATGCTGAGGAAGCCCTCCATGACGAACTGACCAGCATACGTGCCTGCCATGGTGGAGCTCTGGCCGGCGGCGAGTAGTCCCACCGCCCAAATGGTTTCTGAATACGAGTTTAGAACCCCGCGGAGAGCAATTCCAGCGCCCGACAACCCAATTTCTTGGCAGACTCCCTACCGTAACGTTGGGATTCAAAATAGATAATAGATGAACGTAGTACCGGAGTTCCGGCCAGGTCACAACGGCCATATATCAAGCTGTCACTGGCCCCGAGAGGCAAACACGCCGTGTTGATGCCATGGATGTCAAACGAAGGCAAGCAGTCGAGCGAAAAGAAACTCTGCGCAAACACACACACCACCTACATGGAGAGGTAAATGAATCCTCTAGGATAAGTCAAATAGATGAATACGTACCGCCAGGTTGATTAAGAACGACACAAACAGCGCGACGGCACCTTCGATGGCAAAGTACTTGTTGGCTTGGGCCAGTTTCCGCCCGTCTTGGCGATCCACAGACCGAGATTGCACCAGTCCAGAGTGCAAAAATAAGTTGTACGGCATGATCACTGCCCCCAGAATGCCCACGGCTTGGGTCGTGGCATATCGCTTGGGAATGGATGGCACGAATCCTTGCAGCTAGGGGTTTCGTTTATGATAGATCATAAGTCCAGCCGCCTTACCACTTGTGTGGTGTCAGGGTTGCCTTGGATAGCATTGGTGCAAAAGCACACGAGCATCACGGCTACGAGGGCCATAAAGAACGCTTCTAGCTTTCGCACGCCAAAGTGATGGAGGAGTAAGAACGTAAACCTACATATACATATATATCGTCAGGTTTGATATTATTGTACAGTGCGTTCATTAAGACCCAAAACGTGGTCCACACCACTCACTGTACAAAAAAATATGGCCGTACGTGTCGACAGCCGTGATTAGGCACCCGATCCACAGAGGCAGCTTGAATAGGATCTGCAGCGCGATGGCCGACCCGAGCACCTCTTGGATGTCGCTGCCAACAATGGCCACCTCTGCCATGAACCAGAGCACGCGAGATGTCCACCGAGGGTACATGAGGTGGCACATCTCGGCCAAGTTCTTCCCTGTCACGACACCCAAGCGAGCCGACAGCACTTGCAAGAAGAAGCCCATGATTGTCGCCCCGAGTAGCACCCAGATGAGCTGGTAACCACCGTAGGCGCCGGCTTGGAGGTCCGACTCGAGGTTGCCTGGGTCGACAAAAGCAATGCTCATGAGCCAGCCTGGACCGGCATAGGCCCACAGAGTGGCCCAGCTGAACGCGAACTTGAAGCCGAGGATGTTGTACTCGCTGTCGATGTCGTCGGGCACACCCACTTCACCGCGGGACATGGCTAAATCCTCGACCTCCGTCCATTCCTTCAAGCCAACGTGGTCGACGTACTCGAGCTCGGCAGCGTTAGATGGCCGGCGCGGAAGTTGAATCTCGCGTATGAGCGTCGACGATTCGTCGATGACTGCCATGTCCAACTGTCCACACTCAATTTGAAATATATGTACGCATGCAGTTGGCTTTTTTATTTTCTCGATAAAATCTGAGTGTTCTATTTTTTTGCCCCGCAGTAAATGAAATAGATCGTTCATTATTAATACTATTTAATAGTACCGTTAACTCCAATTTTACTCTGACTTCTCGTGGCATAATATACACAGTACTAGTATTAATAGAGCAAAATAAGCCAACACAATAAACAATGTTCATTTATACCACAGACGAATGGACGAAGATCTGATGTTCAAGCACACACACATCACAATGATGACTCCGTACTCCAGCGTACAGTATACTTCGACGATGTTTGAATGACGTGGCGTGTATAGTACCGGTACTGTAAGCATACTCTGCCAATTCGACGGGTTTCATAACCAAACTGAGCAAATATCTACACACTACTTACTCCCTTCTCAGCTACATGCTGGTTTGTCATGGCCAATATGGGTACTTTAAGGGCATTGTCGGTGGCCTTGAACAAGCCCCCAGCAAGCTACAAGCAGCACGCCAGTCCGCACCCATTACAGCGGACACCACAACGACTGTGAGTCATTTCGCCAAGTAGCATCTGACCTAATTTAAAAGTTAAGCTTGTACAGACCACACAAGTATTAGTATACTGTAGTTGTGGTTACTGTAGTTACCGGTTCAAAAGTTTGGATGATAGAAATTCGACAGAACGTGATTTCATTCGCTTAGACTGTTCTTTACAGTTAATCCCCAATTTCTTGCGACATTCATATTGTGCTCCAATTGTGGTACAAGTCCTTTTTATACCCACCGATTACTACTGTACTCCAGAGTATTAATAGTACCCCGGACGTTACGTCAATTTGCTCGTCGAATTTCTAAAATTGAAATTTTCCTACCGGTATGTGAATCTAATTCCCGTCCAGTAAGTCACTTGAATAATGTATGCATGGTTTGGGTGACAAAATCCTCAGAGCCTCTCAATAATAATACCAGGTATGTATAAAGTGTTTAAGTAATTAAATTTAGAAGTGCAAGCAATATAAAAACTGTATTACTAGTACATCTCCGACGCTCAATATTAAATCTTACAAGTATTTGATACAATGGTATGTAATTTTGTCCAATCATAGTCCATTGAAGATTGTGATTGGGAATTATTATACATGAATCACCTTACAGTTAGTATTCACACTGTCAATTATCTGCTATGGTGCATTTCAACTAAAGACTACAAAAAAATGCCTTGTCTTTCGACAGCTATTCCAACTTTGTATTGATATTTTTTAGGAAAATAAGCCGTAACAACGATAGAACTGGTCAAGACCAACATAAGTTACGGTTCAAAATTTCGATTGGTGAAAAATTGATCGAGTAATAGAATTTAAACCAACCAGCCTTTTTGTATGGAAATATATGGAGCCAGGCACATTTTGGCCGAAAAGGAGCATCAAGTATATCTTGGTCTTTGTATACAGCACTTATCCGTATGAACGCTTCCGTTGTATCCGGATTATACAGGATGTTTAACCTATTTACCAGATAAAAAACGTAAGTAAAAATAATTTAACGTCAACATTACAGGGGTTTAACTGAAATAACTGAGGCGTTTAATAGTAAAACGTCTCCTCCTGAGGATGGCCGTCTTTAGATGAAATGCACCATATTATCCCAAATATCTGAATATTACGATTTTTCAAAATGAAATAGTTATTGGGGTAAATATAGAAATGTACTACCATGCGATAAAAACGATGGGACCTGCATAAAATTATAAATCTCGTCATGATCTTCAAAATGCATGTTTTCGCAGCCTCATCGGAGTTATGGCACTCCGAAAGTAGGCCAAGCTGGCCGGGAATTACCGATACATGAATCACCAAGCTGACCGGGAATTACCAGTACACGACATGAATCACCTTACTACTATTAATAATGCTAACTTTACTCCGGAATACTATTAAATAGTAGTATTAATTGATATTAATAGTCTTACGTACGTACGATATGAGGAATGCAGGTACAGTACAGTACTACGGTTTTGAATTCTGAAGGGCGTTCAGCACACAACTGTACATACCAAAAACCGGTGGTACTAACGTTGCCAGTATACTACTGTAGTATGAAGTACTGTACTAGTATTCTGTGGTAAGAAATTTAAGAAAAATAATTTTCTAAAAATTATGAAATATCTTATAACTTAGTATTAAAAAAAGATAGAGTATTACTACCGCTAACGTTAGTAACAGCAGAGGCTAGTAATATTATCAATCGCCTCACTAATCACCCGTAGTTAACGTTAGTTTCACAACACACCAATTTCCCCATTTCGTGAAACACTGTCAGACTGAGTCGCTCGAAGTTGGTCGGTAGTTCTTGGAAGGATGAGGATACATACCGGTACTGTAGCCCCCCACACCATAAACAGTTCCAATTCTCGAATTGCTAACGATCAATATTATACCCTAAGCCAACACTAGCTCTTATTGCAATGGAGTGGCAATGCCATAGTGGGTGGCTTTTTCCTTCAAGATGGCTTCAACGCGAGGGCATGACTCCAAGTCCTGACCGCGAGTTTCATAGCCAAATGCCAGCAACACCAGCGCGATGAAGATGAGAGGCACGCCTCCAGCTACCCACATGATGGTCTTGATGCCCCAGCCAGCACCCAGCATGATGGGCACAATGTACGAGCCTGCAATGGCGCCGACGCGGGACACTCCGCCAGGGTACGCACATCCCATGGCTCGGATGTTGGTGGGGTAGTTTTCAGGCGTAAATGCATACAGCGATCCCCACGCTCCAAGCATGAACCACGACATGAGCGAGCCAGTGATGAGCAAGTTCCACTGCGACGCTTCCACGTAACCAAATGCCAGCGCTGACGCAAACGACCCAATCAAATACATAAACAGCGTCAACTTGCGGCCAAAGACCTCGACAACGTACGCCGCGGAAAAGTACCCCGGTAGCTGCCAAAACACGATGAAGAGCATTTCCCACGTAGACTGGTTGATGTTGTACTCGGACGCTCGCAAGAGGGGCAGCCAGATGAAAATGGAGAAGTACGAGAACGAAATACCCGTCCAGACCGTCCACAGCACGATGGTTCGGGACAGGAACTCGCCTTGGAAGAGCATGCCCACGCGTTCCCACTGCGTCAAGTTGGTCCAAATGGACAGCTCTGGGGCTGCCACGTCAGCCTTGGTATCGTCCTTGTTGGCCACGACGCCGTGCGCAGCTTCGATGCGACCGACGATGGCTTCCGCTTCGTCCATCCGGCCCACGGACGCCAGCCACTTGGGGGACTCGGGCACGTACAGTCGGATGACAATCGCGTAGAGGGCAGGAATCGACGAAATATAAAAGATCACGCGCCAGCTCACGTATTTGACCAGTTCGAACGACAGCAGCACGGCAATCATGCACCCCACGGCCCAAAACGACTCGAGGATGACGATGATGCGGCCGCGGACGGACGTAGGGACCATCTCCTGCACGAGCGCCGACGCCACGGGCAACTCGCCGCCCAGGCCAAACCCTGCCAGGAACCGGAACACCAGCAACGTGGCAAAGCCGTCAGACACGCCGCAGAGGAGGGTGCCGGCCATAAACACGAGCAGCGTGACCATGAACATGGGCTTGCGGCCGTAGAGATCGGCCAACTGGCCGAACAGAAACGATCCAAAGAGAGACCCGGCAAAGGCCGCCGAGCCCAGGAGGCCGGCTTCTTGGCTCGTGGGGGAGATGCCCAGGTCCGTGCCCCATCCACCAGGAGCTAGGCCGAGGTAGATGAACACAAACGTGTCCATCGAG